GTTCAGAACACATTTTCTAATTTCCAAGAGTGATGAAATAATGCAAGTTAACGGTCAAACGAATAGTAATAGTTTGAAATAAATTCTGGTGATATTTCCACGTGATATAACAAAGGTCACATGTAACAGGGACACAAAAATGTCACACTTTTTTCCAGAATTACCCATAACTCCGGGGCGGATCCCCAAGCCCTGATACTATTTATGTAACTTGCAATGGTCTTTGGGGGCTCTTTACACACGGAGAACGGGAGGGAAAATGTCTCCGCCCCCCAAAAAAACCCAAAATCACATTTTCTCGTTATATTGGAATCCCCGCTGGGGGGGTGGACCCTGTTGCCCGCCCCTTGATCCACCAATGATTACTAGCTTGGAAAAATTGGGCAGTAACCTCGTGTCTGGAGAAATTGGGTGCCAAAAGCAAATCAAAGTTGTTCATTTCAGGTCAGAATTGTCCAATGTTTCAAGCAGCTTACACTTACTATGGTCAATGTAGAATGCTGTCTGGCGATACTTAAACTTTTGATGAATAAACAATGGCTCTTAGCTATTTCCTAAATGAAAACGATACCCCACGTAAAAACAAAAACAAAACATTACGACAACGGAAACAGCAGCCCTTGTAGAAGGCAGACACATCAGTTTTAATTTCTGAACCTATTCCGTGTAGATAGGGGCAATTTTGATCGTGTATAAACAAATCATTACCATCTTCACCACAGACTCTGTGGACAAGATCTGGGGACATCGACGTGTACACCAGAGGTTGCATTGCACCTTACGCTTGTTCGACGGGTTGCATTACTACCGCTCAGGGGATTATATGCAGTTCCTGCTGTGATGACCAGAATCTGTGCAACCATAAAGCCATTGCGGACGGAAGTTCGGACGTTCTCCAATGCTTTGTGTGTGTCTACTCTTCGGACCCCTCTTTGTTTGGGTTCGGCAGCGATCCAGCATGCAACGACCCTGTAGACCCGACCGGTTACGGGGTGCTTCAACAGTCTTGTCCTAATGGGGAGTGTGGGGTGAGTTGACCAAATCCAAAATCTTCTTTCGGAAACTATACATGAAGTTAACGTGTTTATGGCATACCTCTCAAGTATGTCTGTTTTGAGGATGTTTGCATGTTCTGTATAGTATACGCCTAAAGTAAACCTTGACTATGCACTATTTATGTACCTTTCAACAAGCATCCATGTCAACTTTTTCAAGATCAAAGCGATTGATGTCGAAAGGTCGTATTCCGTGCATTTGATTAGAAGTTTCTACCAAATTAATCATCCTGAAATAAGATTTGAAGGCTATTGCTAGAATGGAATTCTTTTTTTTTTAAATGCCTCTCAATTGTTTCTCAGTTAACTTCACTTTCAGTTTTTGTTTTACTTTACTTTAAAGAGCTTTTCGCTGCCTTTTTTGTATTTAGGCTCATTTATATTTTCGCATTGGTGAGCAAAACTACGATATCATTCCAGAAAAAAAGCCTCACAATTCCATTGGGTTTGTACCAAATTTTCTCTTGTTGGTGATTTATTGTTTTGTAAGTACTTGAGCATTAAGCACGCAACCCGTCCCTACGCTGAAAGAATTCTAGGCTCACAACAGCCAACGCGTTGAAGCCACGTCTTCCCCCGATGAAATCACAGCAGCAACACCCTCATTTGTCCAGAAAAACAGATGTATTTAAATGTTTAAAAAGAGCATCTTTCGATTCATGAAACCTACCAGGAATGTTGAATATAGTTTCCACTCATTCAAGAATAATATAGTGTTGCAGAAAAATTATGTCTAAGAAAAATTCCAAGCAGTTACACAGTTCAAACAAGGTATACGTGCTTCGGTTACAAGCCAGCCAGACCGTTTTTGTGGAGAAAACTGTAGAAAACCTATAATTTCAAGCTTAGACGAAAAGTAAAACTGCATCGTTTAGTCGCGCATAAACTCATCGATTTATAATGTTATAAATTGAAACAGATCTCACAAATAGAGACGGTTTGATCTTTAAAAATAGCGCCATACATAGGACATGATTGTAAGCCAGAAATGTTCTGTAATGCTTAGCTGACAGTTTGGAGATGCGACAAATCTGAACCAAAAGGCCAGTCCTCTGTAAACAGAGGCAAAAACAGGTGTATTTAATCACTAACGTTACCTCGGAGGAAATATTCTTTGTTTTCCCCACTAGATAATTATTATTGACACACTTTTTAGCTTTGATATAAATGATGAGCCGTCACACATTTTAATACACACTTTTAAATCGGGAATCGTCAACCAAAGTCCTAGCTGTGATGCATGAGGAGTTTTTTTTTGACAAAACAAACTTCTTTTCTCTTCTGGAAGGTTGTCAAGGCCACAGTCAATGGACACACTTCCATCACCAGGCTCTGCATTCCCACTTCTGCTGGGGGATGCACGCCCGCCTGTGACGCCCTATCTACCACTTGTGTCACCTGCTGCTCCACCTACTTATGCAACGGGGGTAGTGACGGAGGCAAACCGAATACTAATGCCGCACCGGCACCGTCAATGCAGCCCAGCGGACACATCGCCCTCCTGCATTTGGTGCTGATCTCGGTGGGTCTCGGTATGATGGGACTGTATTAGAGCTGTCATACGGCTCGTATTTAAGACCGTTACACTTTGAAATGCTGATATACACAGACTACAGTAAAGGCTTCACGTTGAGGAAAAACTTAATTGGTGTAAATTGAAAGCGACACATTTTGAACAGTGGCGCAACGGGGGGGGGGCGTGCGCCCTCGGGTGCTTCCCCCGTTTGAAATGTCTGTTGAGTTAATACAGTTGAACTTCATTAATAGGAAGTCCTTCCGACTTGGCAAATAACCTTGTTAAAAGGAACCTTGTATTATCAGGAATGAAAACAATGAAAATAAAAAGGGGTTGAGACCTAAACATTTTCTTATTATAAGCAGAGGCTTGCATTAATAGTGCTCTTATTAACGACGTTCGACTGTATAGAGCTATGCAACTGCAATTTATGTTCTTGCTATGCTTCTTGAAAAAAAATGTGTGCAACTCTGAGTGCCCCAGGGAAGTTTACCCCTAGTTACGTCACTGATTTTCAACCACTCTATAACAAATGTAAGTGTCGTAAGCTTGGCTATATTCAAATACTCAGAATGATGTTTTTTATTATTTCTCATTTTACACTTCAACAGCGCTCTTACTTTATCGCTCATGTTGCATGTGGTTGAGAGTTTTCATTTTAATGATCAGCAGTGAAAAAATGGAACATCTTCGGAACCGAGAAAACTTCAAACAATTGCTGAGCTTTTATAGGATCATCTGATACTTTTTGCTTTTGAGAAAGATTCTACCAGGATCAAAACGTCAGGCCCTCCATATTTTGTGATTTGCATTTAAGGTCACTGTAGTCAGCAAGCACTTTGCAGCAGTTTTACAGGCCTATTGAACATCACATCACATGCGGAAATTGATTGAGAGATGCAGTTATCAGACAAAATGTCAACAGATTTATGATAACCGCTTTAAAGGTGGATTTTTATTCGTTTTTGTTCTTCCGGGAAGTTTAATTTTTTAGGGGGGGGGGTTAACAATTTCTCTATGAACCCTTTTATGGCCTTTGTAGGGGGAGGTATCCCTTGCTCATCGTTGAGAGGATCTGCCGATGGACTGTTACTGGAAGAAAACATTCTTTTTAATATGGAAATAATGCAGAAATGCTGCAGAATTATTATGACTTCGTAAATTTGAGGTTTGCCCGCATTTGGGCGAGGGAGAAGGAATCGTCCGCTGTGTAAGAGATGTCGTCCTGCTGACTGGAAATAACGTGTATCTTTATGGAAGTCACTAGCCGTGCTGTAGCCATTTCCGGTCAATTTGCCGTTGATGGGAGAATGGTCGTAACAAACGCCGACGGCACGCAAGACGCAGGTGTCACGGAACAGACGCTGCGTGACGTCATTTCAACACAAAAAAATGGAACAAATTGGCGTCAGAAACACTTTTCGCATAAAAGTCTTTCTATGGCGATACCGCTTCTAAGTCAAGTTTCGATGCATCTTTATTTTTAAGCGTCCCCTGCTGCATACCTACGAAACACACAAAAGGGGCACTACTTGATCAGTCTTTGGCATTAGCAAAATTCTAAAATTAAAAAAGTTTGCTGATCGATTATTGCATCTCAAAGTCTATGAGAATTAAACATATCTTTGTAGTTTGCACGTTGAGAGAGTAATTCGACAACTGGGGTTGCAGAATTATTGGCTTAGTTGCATATTGAATAAGTTAAAATAAAGTCATTTTAAATGATGCATTTTAAAGAAAATGTTTTGGCAGGGGGTGAAGTCTTTATACAGGTGTGATTATTTTTCGAATCGTAGAAAAATAAAACCTGGATGTTTGCTGAAAGGTTCACTGTTCCATACATTATTCTTGAAAAACGTGCCTCATTTTTCCAACAGAATCGAAAATATGTGTTGCTCTTTTTTACACGAGCCCACTGATGCGACATTGGCTTAAAGAAGGAATTTACATCTGCTATGGGGGGTATACACTGTAACACAAGTGTTAGTGTTTTAACGCTCTTTAAAACACCTGCCTGCTAAAACGTTATGAACATGTTGTGGTGTTAAAAATCCGATGCTAAACGCGTTACGGTGTTTATTTTCAAAACAAATATGCGTTTTGAAGTGTTAATACATTTAATTTAGACACAATGACACGTTCCTCGCGCCAACATCCTCTGAACACCGAAACGCGTTTATTTCCAAAAAGATGTTTAATTTTGAATTATACCGTTACCGTTAACGCAAAGACGCGTCTATAATGGGGGTTGATTTTTACAGTGTCTCCCCGCCCTAATCAGTCCATCTGCCCGATCCGGTCCGTTTGACTCCTCGCAGTATCTCAAACTTTTAATACTGCGTATAATTATGGAGCTATAGCCCCATGACATGATGTTGCTACGTGTTAACATTTACCCAGCACCCTTTGTATCATTTGGTTACACTGGAAGGAGGTCGCGCTAGAGCTCAGGGGCGTTTTCAAGCCGCTCCACCAATCGCAAATTGCTTGCGATTGTCAGGGAAACCCTTGCAGAGAATTTTTTCCAGCTCATCGCCAAGTGATGAAAGTGTACGAGAATAGCAGCTGGAAGAGGGAAATCATTAGTGACGTAGGTCCCTTGCCCGGTACACTTCTTAACTGAAACCTCCTTTCCTGAAAGATACAGGTAAAATTCCAAAGAAAAATGTTCTAAAATAACTCTTACTGGACAGCAGTTAGAAGGAACGTATTTTCCTTGTGTGTATTTCATCCCAAATATTACTGATCAGTACTGCTTTCTCATTACTTCCGTGCGCTATTCGGTTGAGAAGAAAGCAGAACCGCTGCCCGGAGTTTGGTTTTCGGATGTTCTGGCAAAGGCAAGGATCCCCAAGAAGCTGAATGAGGAGGGGTTTTTCCCTGCTCGTCTCGTTCAGTAGAATTCAGAGGCCGTTAATTTTAGCAAAGCTTGTCAACTAGCGTTTTTTAGAAGTCTCTGAACCACCGTAGTCCTTCTGTAAGCTGAGGTGTTGTTGTTGGGTTTGGGGGCTTGCCAGTGTTTGGCAAATATGGACAAAGTCCATTCCAACCCGTTTGGTAGCATTGTGATTATATTTCTACTGTGTCAGAGGAATCCCATAGTTTATAATTCTTGCCAGATCAATTATGCATATTCAGTTTGCATAATGTCCACAGCATGAGCTTTCGTACTAAATTGATTTGGTACAGCTCTTTTGAATTGAATTTCTCATATGAGAATGTTTGGTTGGAAACCAAGACTTAACAAACACAAAACACGCTTTCGCTCAGTTGATATGTCTGAGTACATCAATTAGAAATAAAAACTGAAGAAACGCCCATTGCTTGTTCGTAATTTCTCTCTTGTCCGTAATTCTTCTAAAGATTTATCCCTCTCTCTTTATACATTCGTCCTGGAAATTAATTAAAAGGGCATGTGGTATTCATTTTTGGAAGGCAAATGCTTTGTGGAATAAACCGCTCCTGTTAAAGGAATTTTATGAAGTACCTTTTTAAACACTCACAATTTTAAATGTTTTCACTTTCTGTTATGGTTGGATTTTGTTGAAGTTTATCTCCCAAATTTTTAAGTGAAAAAGTTGCTCACTGTGGTACTGTCATTGACTGAACGAACAACGCATTGCAAAAGGAGACAATTTACGACAAGCAAAATATTATATCCGAAATTCGTGCAAATTTTAGCTTTGAAAAGGATAAAACATTGACATCTCTGATGTGATCATAATATGCAAACTGTTTTTCTGAAATTAAAGGGACACCAAAATGACCTTGAAAATAATAAAACGAGGCTAAATGAGACATTAAGATGAATTGACGAAGACTGCCTTAAACATTACTTTGGATAAGCCCTGTTTAGATAAGGTTTCACATATGCGTACTTCCCTGCTGTAATTTTCAAGTCTGCATTAAATTAAGTAAAAAAAAATCATCCAACAATATTCCAAGTCACCTCTAGTCTACGGTGACTCATCTGTGTCACACAGGACCAATTTTACTGATTTCAAATTGATTCCGTGCGACTAGAGTAGAATCTTTTTAATTGAAATCTTTCAAATTCTCAGTAGCCTACTATTAACCATCCAACATGCCTGCTACAGTGCTAACTTCTGTGGAAAGCGTCAAGTCAGAGAACTGGGCAAACCAGCTGGCGAAGATGGGGATGCCCAAGGTGAAGATACCCGCCAATCTACAGGTGACCTACGCTATCACTCAGAGCGGCAATACCATCAACATGAAGACCACTATTAACAACCACAACAGCGAACATGAGTGGCCACTGTCAACGTGGGCATCAACCATCGCCGGCCACGAGATAGAGCAGACCACGGCCTGGTAAGGTGATAAGCTGGTTATGCGTGCCATCAGCGGCTCCGGCGGGGTCACTTCGGGGTCCAGTCCACTAATTCAAGCCCTATTGAAAACAGTGTAAAATCAACACTGTTCAGGGTCCAATAGCATGCACGCTAACATCCCTGAGATTTCTGAAGCACAAATGAAATTCTTGTCTGGTCACCTATCTTTCAATTTCTTTTCAATTTCTTATGGGTTAACCAATTACATTTTTAATTATTCCCACAAAACAAAATCACCCCCCAAAATGTGATTTTTCCGAAGTCTGATTCCAGCCATTTTTCAAGTGACAACCCTCAACTTTCTCGGGCACTTAGGACCATTTTGTAGTTTTTAGCCCTTCTGCTCTCATATGAAAGCTCAAAGACCCAGGGAGTTGATCCTGGCAACGATTTACACAATCTCACCATTTTGGGGGCCCAACAATCTCCTTTTTCAAAAGATATTGTGGGGGTACTTTTAATGCTAATGAGCTGGTCAAAAATTCTCACTTGAATTAGTGGTCGGCACCCTTTCGGCGATCAGCGGAAGTGGTCACCCTCGAACACCAGGGCGTGGTCGCTAATTCCTACTTCAGCAAGTTTACATCGGTTGAAGCTCTTCTCTTGCCTTTCAATAGACCCTTATTCAAGTCAGTTCAACCCGAACAGGGATCTATGACCTCATGGCTTAATGAATTAAACAACAGGTTCTATCCAATGGTGTAAATTGTAAATTCAGACCATTTTGAGTGATTCAAAGTAGAATTTATTATTTCCTTATTTTCGTTTGCTCTTGCCTTTGTGCAGCTTTATAGAATTGAGGTAAAAACCATGTCTGCATGTTTGTGTGAACACTTCGGAAGGGAGGGCATTCACGAAACTTAATAGTCCAGTGTGCTTGCCTGTCAATAGGTTCTCAAGATAACGGTCGGTGAGGCCTGAAGATGTAAACAGCTGTTACTTTGGCTTGGGTAGATAACAAACTCTCGGGTTGGCGGGTCGCAAAAAGCATAGACAAGATATTAAATCGTCAATGTGCAATTCCAACAATAACAGCGTTTGTTTTCAGTTTTCAAATAAATTTTGAAAATCTGGCGATCGGCATGTCAAACTCATATAGACCGTAAAGCAGGTAAAATGGTCCCTGTCTCTTCCTTCACAACGAAACGTTTATTAAATTATCGACTTAGAAAATCCGGTTGGTGGATATATAATCAAAACAACGTAATTTGTAAGGGTACCGGCCAGTAAGTAGGCCGAAACTACTTGCATCGGCTAAATCACAATTTGTATGCACTCAAATTCACCACGAAATAGAGCCTGTTGTGGCCCATGAACTTGACGATTTATAGGAAAGACAGGTTTAGGCTACCAAAACGAATGCTAGCTTGTGTCTGAGTGAGATTTGGAAGAAATCGGTGCTTGTAAACGGTATCGATGTTTCAAATGGTCAGGGGCTTCGCGACTGTTCTACGGGTAACCTTCTGTGGGAAAAAACTCTTCAAAAGTCATGGGTTAATTAATAGAAATTCGAAATAAAATGAAAGTCATAAAATGAGCTTAAAAGTTTACTTTGATGTGCGTCTCGAACGCCTGAGAAAGTCGTGAGTATTTTTCTTGATTATTTGAAGTTCAAGTATTTATTTCTGTTGGCTATGACAGTTTAGCTTGCACCCGGTGTAAAAGTGTCTGACCAAAAGAGGGCGTGTTACTAAAGCCGAGCTACGTACCGAACAAAATCTGCGGGCACCTATTCAGTGGATATTTTGAACTGGCTGTCCATTAGGCCCACGCTCCACTGATTAATCTGAACTTCTGACGCACTTTTCATAACCAATAAAATAAATGAATCCTCTGTTAATATTTAAAAATTATAAATGGCGGGTCACAATGATGGCTAAAGCGGACCCGCAAAACTGCGTTTCGGTAATCAAACAGAAGCAGACGGCGTTCTTTCGATTGGTTTCTCAGCAACGCGTGTGTGAAGCATAGTCTGAAAGGAGGCGTCCACTAGACTTTAAAACAACCTAGTGGTGCGCTAAAATACACCAGTGTATCGAACATTTGCCGATTTGCCGAGAGTTTGTTCATTTTCTGGGTTTATGAGGCTTCTTCATTCCAGCTCAGTAACACGTTGCGGGTTCATTTTGCTGAAATACAATAAACTTGGACATTGATCATGTGGATATTTAGTTGACAAAATAGTACTTTCTTTTTCACAGACTCCCTAACCTAGATAAATCGTGGCTAAGTAGTATCATACAAGTATTTAAAATTCTTTTGACTCTAAATCTGTACATCCAACTGGCAAAATTTCAATTGCGCATATTAAAGAACGAATCATTTTTGTCTGTTAACGTACAAAATATTCACTTTGATATATGGGCACCAGCTCTGAAAATTTACATTTTATTTCTAGGACCATTACCTGAATTTCCAGTACAGGATATTGATAATCACGGCGTTTCGCCAGCCGACTCCTTTTACATCTCTTTGACACCGTCCAAGATGTCACATATTGTCTCCTGATATTTTCTCTTTTAATAATCCAGCTCTTAATGACAATTCAATTCAAAACAAGATAATATAGTTGAACAAGATGTGGCAAAAAGAGAAATATCTTTAAAGCTATATTTGTATAGTTTTTTAGCCTCTGGTTCGAGTAAATACTTATAAGCTTGGTGTGATGTTTCTCCTTCAAAAACATTATGAACGTCTCCATTTTCACACCAGCATATATCATATTTAAGGTACTGTTTACAGGAAAAAGAGCCCTCAGTGAAAAACATATGTGGTATCTGCTTAAATTGAGCACAGTTCAATATCAATGGGAAAGAACAAAAATAAACAGAAAAATGTAATAATACAAACAAAAGAGAGTGAACAATTTATAGCGCGACGTCATGCTCGAAGAACTGTCACCTCATTTCTGTTATCAATAATTGAGAACTTCCCCATCCCATCGTTGTACTTGTATAAGTTTCTTCTTCACAATTAAACTAAGTCATTGATGGTCATTGTTTGGCGAAGAAGCTCTTGGCTACCACCCCCTCGTGAAGGTGAGTGACCAGCATCTCCCCGCCGGCGGTCAATTCGCGCGTCATGCCCCCGTTGCCATTGGTGCGAGTCAGCACCAGTTTCCCGTCGTCGTTCCACGCCGTCAGGTACTCGATATCATGCCCAGCCGCCCGGTCCACGAACTTTTCCCCGACCACGATGGTGGACTCCCGCATGGTGTCGTCGATGTTGTTGGTGGTCTTGATGTTGATCTGGTTGCCGGTCTGGCTGATGAGCTGGGTGATCCTCAGGTCGGGCGGCAGCTTGTCCTTCGGAATGTTCAGTTTGTCCAGGAGTTCTGGCCAACCCTCCGAACGACTGCTCTTCCACCTGCCGCTGAAATCGGTCGCCATGGCTCATATAGTCAGAGGTTCATCGGGTCAAAACTTTTAAATCGGGTTAGAAAAATACACATCAAGGCGTTAGACATAAATCATGTGCACTGACGGATAGAAGGGGGCGTGGAGGTGCACGGCCCCCTTTTTTACAAAAATATAAATAAATAAATGAATTTTATAAAAAAGATAACAGGGAGGGAAACGAAAAAACGAGGTGTCATACTGCCTAAAATTGCACCATAGAGCGCCTAGAATCCAAAATGGCTGCAGACCCCACGCCGTACGGGCATTTTACCATGAGGCCTGCTGCTTTAGTTCCCCCCCCCCCCTTTGGAAAATTCGCCCCTGATGTGTACATGTACACCTGAGGATCCCAACTAAACAGGATGAATAGTTTGTTTCCACATCCTGGATGCAAGAAAAACCTCAGATTATTTAGACCTGATTTAAAACAAGCCATCAGCTCACTTGTAGTTTGCAGAGGGCGCTGTGTAAATCAATTACATCGGCGTGTCATTCCGTATACTAGGGGAGAACCTTACAACTTCAGGAGAAAGACTCGCTGTGAATCTTATGATGGGCAATCACACGCGGAATAACCCGACTTGCCTTTTTAGAGAGGTTGGAATCAATGGCCAACTTAAGATGCGGAAAACCATAATTTCAATGAGGTTTCAATAATTGCGTTTCACTGACTTGGAAAAAACCCACTTCTTCACCACTCAATGATAGAGGGATGTTAGTTAAGAATTTGGACTAATATACAACAAAGGCACCAAATTGCATTCCCATGAAATTGTGAGTATAAGTTTTGACATAGAACGGGCATCGTTGTGCATACGTCATTATTTCATTCAGAAAAAATTAACTATCTGCATTCATGTATAAATGCTTTATGCTATTGGCCTAAATTTGGACGAAAATCACGGATGATATAATATTTACCCTACAAACAAATCGTTTGCATCTTAGGTCATTACAGCACTTACCTTGAATTCCAGCTGAAAGAAATACCAATATTTTTACGATTTTAGGTGAAATGTAACGACCCGGGAGACCACAATGTGTAGCTCCCTATCATCGCTACCGCCATGACAGCAGAAACGGGGTTGCCATTGGCAGTCAGCGCAATAACGAGTCACACGATTGGTGGGTAAGTATAGTCTTGCGCCCTTCGTTTCCGCTTGCAATTTGTGCCTTATTTGTTCTGGGTCACGAGGACACAGACCCAAACTTTGATCCGCGATTCATGAGCACAATGGAAACCTTTTTGTTTGCTCTTACCAGTTCCGCCGGCGCAGCAGGGACTTACTGAACTATAACCTCGATCTCAGCTTGTGATTATAAAAACCTAGACAATACCGAAAGGTATGCCGGGTCACCTTCAACTCAAGAGTTCATTTAGCAGTTTTTTCATAATTATGGGATACCTGGTTGGCAAATAACCCCATGGAGCTAAAGCAATAAAGTCTATTTCAATAATACTCGTGCCTAACGACAAACGATCCGTTTTAAGATTTTTGAAATTTGTAGGAATTTTCTTTTGAGTAATTTTTTTTGGCAGCCGATGTTATTTTCCCCAGTTTCCCAACAATAAATCTGAGAGACCATATTGATGCATCCACGAGAGACTTTGGGAAATGATGTATAGAAGTTCTCTTTGGAGCTCACTACCTCACACAAAGTGGCGTATTGCCAGTACTTCGGTCAGCTGCGAATTGAAAACAGTCTCACTTCCGTTATCGGCCGGCCTGATGTGACAAAAGGATATCCTGCCAGATAAAAAAGTCCAAATTATAAAAGAGGGTCATGTTTGCCCAGCAGAATTGGAAATCAGGACATTTTGGGTGAAAACCCTAAAATGAAGTTGTGTGTATCGTAATGTTCCCTTTTGGCAAGTGTCCAGACAGAATGACATAAAAATGTTTGGCCGTGGAGCTGTTTAATATCGGAGGGATTAGATGTATGAGTCACCTTCGTTCTATACTGATTACGGATTCAAGTCCGCCATGAAAGTGGACTTTGATCAGACATGCTAATGCAGTGTTTGCGTTGCTGTGTTCGTGCGTTTATCCAACGCAGAATCAATCAGAAGGGTATCATTGAATCTAGAATCAAATTTGAATAGACTGTTAAGAAAGTGTATAGATTTGAGGTCGTAGCTGCTTTTGCAAGCTTCAGCTAAAACCAAAAAATAAAAAACTAATAAAACTAGTCCCTTTTCCCTAATTCATTCACAAAAGGGATTTATCTCTTTTGTAATCAGTTTCGGTAAAAATACTAAACGACACCCTTTTTACGAAAACAGGCCGTTTGTGGATTTTTTTTCTTTGGAAGAACATACATCAAGTTAACTTGGGCAAATCAGACACGGTGCATTGTAAGAACGGAAGAACAAGACAAAATCAAACAAACTTCTGGCATCTGTAGCAGCGTGGGACGGCCAATTGTACATCTATGGCATTAATGAAGAGGAATACGGACCTGTCATCCACAGACCTTCAGAGTTAACCTGCAAATTGTCAATAAAAGTAAAGAACCTCTTTTCAGGGGTTCACCGCAAATCTTTTGAGGATGTGCAAATGCGTCCGCAGACTCCCCTCACGGCTTTACCATTTTCCTAACTACACGGCATTATCTAAGTCTGCATAATCGATAATGTTCGCTTGCTGAGGATAAAATGTTCTTTAGCTGCGGGTGTGTTGAGGTGGAAGCAAGTTGGCCAATATGGCTGTGGTGTTCGTCTCTGTGTTCAGTCTTCAAATAGAAACCTGATCATGAAATACTTCGTCATGTGCCTCGCGAGGGGGCCAGGGGGTAAGGGGTGCTGCTCCCCCGAAAAAATGTAACAAATATATTGGGAGAAGAAAACAAGCGAAAATAAAGAAAGTAAAAGAGACGAACGCTGAAACATCAATTGGCATGGAAACCTCGAAAATGACCCCCTTTCAGTGTTAATGGTGAATCAGTTCATTTCTGATGAGTCTTTGGCCCTCCCAGGCTTTGCTCCCACCCCGAGAGAAATCCTGGCTACTCCCATGACTACGTCTGATTTTGAAAGCCCGAAATTTTGAATGTAGGCCTACATGTAACATACTTCGTGGAATCCAGCTCCAGAAGTTCAGTTCACAGTGCTTGTTAAATTCGCCAAAAACAACTGATTTGTGGAAAACGACAGAAAATCTCAAATAAGTTAAGACTGACATGGTCGAATTAATGCTAAATTGTCTTTATGGGGCACCCGAAACGCGAAGAGCATTAAAAACAAGTTAAATTCTTTGTCACTTTTAAACCGTACACTTTGTTCGTTTGCTGGACACAAGCTGGATTCCATTGATGATGAATATGAAATTTGAAAGGTTGGTGATAAAATAACATGATAAAACACTGTTTCTGCATTTTGGATGTGTTTATTGAAAAACAAAATTGTAGTATCCCATTCGAATTCTCTACATTTTATGCCTTAACTAATTGAAAATTTGAATTTTTATATTGATAAGAGCAAGTAAATACAACCTAAACATCGTTTTGCTAACGAGTATGACCTTTAAGACAGCAATCACTTCAATTTCGTTTTAAAAAGATCTTGACCCAGTATTGTTCTAACCAAATCCATTTCTTGCGAAGTGTGCAGGCGTGCCATCGCTACCGTATAATGTGCATTTGTGGAAAGTACACGTATGTGCAAAGCAACCAAGCATATCGTGATGTGGTATAATGCATGTATACAAGAATTGCCTATTAACGTCAAACTTCCCAAGCAACGATCATATTGTAAGGGATTCACGTATCTTATGATTCATTTCATGGCTGCACTTGCTGAATTCTAAAACACCGAATTGTATAACATGAAATGTTTGTGAGTAGAATTGCTGATCTAATCCGGCCGACGTCAACTAGTTACTGCATAATTTGATTTGGACTGAGTAGTGCATGTGGTCTTCCCCTCTAAGTTCATTCTCCTTCTATCGCTCAAACTCGAATTTGCATTGCCTACTGCTTGCTGAACCAGGTCTTGGCTACTGCACTTCCGATCTGGATGGTGACCAGCATCTGCCCGCCGACCAACTCCCGGGTGCTTTTCCCCTTGCCGCCCACGCCTGTCAGCACCAGCTTGTCACTCTCCCACGCCGTGGTGCACTCGAAGGGCTGACCCACCAGAGTCTCGGTGAAGTTGCTACCCACGGTGATGGTGACCTCCTTCCGGGCGCTGGGGTCTTTGTTGTTGGTGGTGACGATGGTGATGGTATCACCACTCTGGGTGATAGCCTCCGTCACCTTCAGGTCGGCGGGTACCTTCGACTTGTCCACCTTCAATGCTTCCAGGAGATCTGCCCAACCCTCCATTTTGGTGTTTGTCCATGTTCCACTGAAATCGGCAGGCATTGTTGGGCTGGATGTATCTGTTTCAGTGCAGAAAGTGAATGATTTTAACTGAATGCTCTTATAGTAATAAAGCCCTGGGGCCGTCAGATTTCTCTGTAGAAAGCTGTAATTGGAGCTAAAAATAATTCAAATTAGAAAGGAAATCCCGATAGTTTAAACTATTTTCCTCCACTACCACCACCACCAAAAGGATTATTGGAGGGTGTCGACCTCGAAGTCTCTACTACAATTCTTTTGGGTTATGAAGTAATAACACGGAACTAGAACATTTAGAGAATTGTAGAATCTCACCTCTAACTCAGGAGGAAAATGAGAAGAGCTAGCGTCTTTGTCGCGCCGTCGCTGGACACAAGGAAGATGTGAAAAACATCGAGTCAACCTTTCATTTATCAGAGGACTAGCTCTCCTGATGTCCAAGAGGAGATTTGAAAACTGGCTGTTATTGGTCAGAGTAGGATGGTATCTATGGAACAACTTAGCAACGCCCCCCTTTAATGGTCACGTGGGAACAGAAAGAAGTTACGTAACCTTAATTTGCCGACGGAGATATAAATGTTGTGAAAGGATGATTAAACAAGATCATCAAGCTTAAGTTTACATAAGACATTATGCTTGGTCTAGAAACACATTTGTAAAGTATCAATATTACAGTCTCAAGCTGTGCTCGGCCAACAAACCGCATTTACGTCTTGTTCAAAGACCAACCTACAGACTGGATTAGATCGTTTGAGTCAACCATTGCGTTGTGTGGCCGTGGCTTTTCTTATCAAGCGTGTTCATATTTGACAAAAGTAGTTTCAAAAGTGAAGTTTGCTGAATGGGTTGTTAGTGGATATAGGCCTATAACAAATCTTCAGTATTAGTGCAACGTGGACAGGGAACATGAAGCATCATCGAAGCAGTCACGATTTAATCATCAATGGCGTAAATTTGAGGGGGATAGAGTATTGTTGGGGATGACTTGCCCAGCCTTGGAAATTAGACAAGCGTGGGGAGGGGGTGCTGACACCATATGACACGAGGAGGCGATGTTCATGATACAGATGTGTAATATGTAATTTACTCCTACAGAGCCTTACATCAAAACAGTGCTTTTTTATCGAGCTCCCTTCAGGAGTGCCGTGGAATAAATTTTGGTTGTCGGGAAGTCCGACAAATTCTTCACAGTCCACCTTATTTCTCGCTCGCGCCCCCACAAAAAGTGAAGAGATGATTCAGTAGCCCATCCCGTGGTCAAAAAGTGGGAGATAATTCTATAGGCTGTACCCCCCATCCCCTGGGATTTACGCCCATGGTGTCGGGTGACCCAATTTATGACATTTTTGAGAACTGAAGGACATTTAAAGATATGGAGGGTTCATTTTAAACATTTCCCCCCGTCAAGAAACGTACAAACGAATACTAAAGATAATGTTTCAGATGTGAGACGTATGGGGGTATTGGAGAACTTATCCTTAAGTGGTCATTTCGCAATACTCGGCAGTGCGCACATATGGTCGATTGCAGACAAATTTCGTGTCTTTCATGGACTCACCGCAACTCTGAAAAGCGAGAAAAAACAGTGCTACTAAGGTAAGGTAACACAGTTGTATAGACGCAATTCGTTATCATATCCCTCTTTTCATCTATCTGTGTAATGGTCTGACTTGAAGAAATCCATATCCATAAAGGAGCAAGGAAAGAGTACGTCGCATGCCCGCAGTTGCATATTACAAATTAGAGAGAGATTAAAGACCAAGGTGTAGACTGTAAAGAATGTAGAATATCAGACGAGTCCTATGGTCATGTCAAACGTTTTGGACTGTCTGGCTTGTATGATTTTAACAGCAATAAACTTAGGCAACACAAGATAATATACAGCAATCCCAAGTAAGCCCTGAGTTTAACAATTTTGTAAAGTGAAATACAATGTAGTATGGTTTTGTTGTATAATCAGCATAATCAAACCAATATTGTTATGCTACGAAAGCTTACTTATATCTAAATAGGCAGCATTCGGGGCACAGGCTCGAACAACCCACGGGAAATTCCACCTCCAAAAACCAAAGGGTTTTTCAGGGTTTGATTAAGTCTTCGTCGGCTATACAACAAGCACCATATCGAGTTGCAAACGGTCAAATGGCAGTGTGCTTCATATCCTAATGCATGAGATGTTTCATTGTTGTCCAGCGGGTTTAAAATAGAATCGGGGCCCAATTTTATCCTTCATGGTGTGAGTTTTAGGCCTGTTACAATCATATCAGAAAGGTCAGAAGCGGGAACAAACAATTAGGGATTACATTTTGCCGTATAAGACATTGGGGTAATTTAAATATTCCTGTAACGGAGCGATTATCCGTGTCAAAGTACACACGTCACGGACAACGCCAGGCTGTCGACCAATAGGAAACGTGGGGAGTGTTCTTAGAAATCAATAAAAAGCAATCGAACACAGTCTGTCAGTCTCCTTTGCGGCCAAGCAGCAGACCTTGCCTAACATTCAAGCCTTTTGCCAAGTTCGTATAGGTGAGTTTCAAGCATTCACGTTACACTTGCGTTTCAATTTCTACGGTATGCATGGTGTCGTGTTATCATTTTCAACAAACTGAAATTGCTGTTGATATTTAAATTGCCTTCCCTTCCTTCAAACTAGGAAAACTCCGCTTTGAATCATCATGCCTGCCAACTTTAGCGGCAAGTGGGTCTCTGGCGCATCCGAGGGCTGGGGCAAGTTCTTGGGCAAGTTCGGCGTGCCAGTGGAAAAGTTCCCGACCGACATACAGGTGACAGAAGAAATCGCCCAGAGCGGGGACGCCATCAACATCAAGACCAGTAACAACAAGGACGACAAGGTCAAAGAAGTCACCATCAACGTGGGCCAAAACTTCAAGGACACAATCGGGGGTGGCAAGGAGCTTGAGTTTACCACGGCCTGGCAGGGCGACAAGCTGGTGATGACAGGAATCGACGGCAAGGGCTCGATGGCCCGTGAATTGAGCGGGGGTAACATGATTGTTACCTTTACCCACGAGGGAGTGGTCGCCAAATCTACCTACAATAAGGCGTAGGCATTCACCTGCAGATCCAAGTCCGGGCAAAAGAGGGCGACTTACAAGAATATCCCATATGTAAAACCAGGTGGACTAGGATATTCATAGTATTTTAGCGCATCTCGTACATGGCAGTCAACTGCAAACAGCTAATTTATACTTCCCATTTACCAGAAATTGAACCGAAACAGATCAGAACAGAAATCTTTCGCCCGGCAAGGACAGATCTGGGGTAATTCAGTATGATTCTTTGATATTATAACACGTCGTTGTTTTGCTTCTTGAATTGAAGGTAGATTCATCTGAGAGTTCTTCAGATGTTTGTGAAAGTAATATTTTCCAATTTCACTGTAAAAGGTTGTTGTGTTGACAATTTTTGTTATACTGCATGATCGTAAATTAACGCAGTTACACTGGACAAGATAAACTGTAAACCTATTGTGATAATTTGCTCATTACAAAACATTTTCTTTCTTGCGTCACTTTAAGTACATGGCCCTTTATTCCTGAAAAAAATGAAAAGGAAACTTCTTTGATAGTTGCTTCATTTCCATCACTGGGGATAAAATTAAAATACCGCCTCAATAAAATCCTTTGTAATAATGTCAGTTGCTAACGTGAGGTGGAGAGGAGACAGAGAAGCTAGTGCACACGCCTTACCTTTTTTCTCTATCACTGCATGACTTTAATATTTTCCATGCAAATTAAGCTGTGTGCATTTGATGTCAATCGAAGTTTTCCAACTTCCGCAGAAACTCTGAGATTTGGTGGGTTTAATAAAGTGTGCAATAAGTGCTACAATCTATCTATGTACCGACATCTTTTGTCTTTAATAAATTGTGTTGATGTGATGCCATCCTCGTCATTACTGAAGAGCAACATGGAGTAATTATGTCTGAAAAATTAGCGTTTTCCTACATCACAATATCTCTTATTTTTTTATATATTGGATGAGAACAGTGAAGTAAAGGAGAGAGTAGTCAAGTCAAGGAATTCTCAGTTCATTAGGTTAATAAGTCCAATCAACAATACGGCCACTGTTTTTGAGAGAAAAAGGCACAAATTTAAAAAAGAACCTAGCAGGTTCTCTGAATATTATTGTCTGTGGAGCCTTATTAACATCGATGAGCAATTGGCAATCTAACTCCTTTCAGGGCGGATATAACAGAGTCTACTGAAAGCACTCTGCTAAATTCCTATTTTTGGTACTATTGTCCTTGATAAAATGACCCCCAATATCTTCCCGTTATGAGTGAATAGATGTTCCCGTAATGTACACGGTATGGATGTCAGTAAGACCGAGCGATTTGTCCCTGGCTCTGAGCGATTTCCTTATTTGAGTAAAGGAGCAACCTTCGCCCTTTTACCTGTAGATAAAGACTTCTGATGGATGATAGTTAGGAGAGGAGCAATACTGCTGGCGCATTCATTGAATAAGTTGAAGTAATCCCATCTGGTCTTTGTGCTTTTTGAACATTTAGGCCCCTAAGAGCCTTTCCACACAGTGGGTAGTTTAATGAATGGGCGGCATGTCTGGAAAATTATGTTTTCATGGAATACTATTACGATCTTCCTTCGTTAATACTGATTGAAAATTCAGTGCTGCAATATCTGATGAATTTTGATGGGTGCTTTTGATAAATCTCCGGAATGGTTGCAGTCTTTAAACTTTCCCCAACTTCAAACAAACACGTGTACCCCGATTCAGAGGCCCGGAGCGACTGTATAATTTCAATAGCGTTCAACTCGGGCAACACGAGACTGTATACAGCGCCCCCAAGTGGGCCCCGAGTTTAAGAATTTTACGTCTGAACGGATGTGATCTTTCCGTTCAGCACATGAGACGATTAATTATTCATTAAGAAAATGCATAATTTAGTGGTGACTGATCTTACATGTTCTTTTTAGGGTTCTTACTCCCCTTCAGATGTCCCTTTTTCTAAACAAAGTTGGAATACTTTTGGTTAAATTTTGAGTTCTTAAGAATGTCATCGGTAGAATTCATTATTTTGTTTTGCCTTTATGTCACTATCGTTCGAATAACCAGAACTAGTGGTGGTTATTGTCATTATCTTTGACTAAAGGGTGGTGTGATCCACTCAGAAGAGCACACACATGTTCTTATCCTCTTTTCGAAAGCGTCAGGCCGTTGATCAAGCAAATAGAACGATGCATTAATTGACCCGATTGTATTTCCTACATTTTGGGGGTAAGTCGTGTCTAAACTAAGTCATGAGATGTTGGTTGGCGTGACGAGTGTCTATTTAATCTGTTTTATAGTTCTTGGGGTGTAACCTTATAGTATGAAGTTGTCAAAGCTCTCTCAAAGTTGAG